ACGTTTTGTTTTACTAAAGCAACTCTCAGCAGGTGCGCATTTAGGACTCCAAAATAGGGAACTTAATTCAAGATTTTCGGCTTCTCACGAGAACGCTTAACCTCCAGAACACTGAGATGGAATTTATTAGTTTACAATAATGTAACAATAAAAGATAACTTCAATTCTAATAATTAGTACAATAATAATAACATGGTAATAATTTAGTTAATATGTCATTCTTTGAACTAAGTAGTCTCTCAATGAGTTCTTTCATCGACATATTGTCAACTCATTCATTACATCACTGAATATAAATAAAACCAAATTCTCTAACTTGACCACACATCTTCATCACTTATCAATAACTCTTTCTCAACTAGACAATAGTTTACATTGACAATAGCTAGCTAATGAAGATCAAACAAAACAATATATCATGCCAATCACATGAAGAATTCATGGGCACTCATCACCCGGTCATAGACTATAATGAATTAATTAGTAAATATAACATGATATATATATTCAAATATATTTGTTAGTTGGATTCAAGCGTCGATCTAAGCTAGACCACCATGAAAATCATGGAAGCACATCCACGATTCTGCACAAGGGACTCAAATGTAGGGTCTATCGGTTTCGTACGCGAATGCTTAACCAAACGGTGTTAATGTCTAATTTCAATTAATCCACGAAGTTGAGCGACAATTCCGTCATAGTCTTCAGTGAGTTACTATCTCATAACAGACCCGATTGAACTCTACTAATCACGGCTTCTTACTAGAACACCAAGAAATACCACTTGAGTTTGAATCTCACAATGCTGAATCGTGGATGCACATTGATGAGGAGTCTCATAACAGGACAGAGTGTCCGTCGAATGTTTCCAGATTTTCCATGGTGATCTAGCTTGAATTGACTTATGATCTTCACCATTAAGATATATTTGTGTTTAAAAATACATCTTATCATATTAATATGATAATCATTATGTAAAATAGCAAATTATTATAATTTGATCTTTCATTATAAATAAATGAAGTTATATCAATAGTACACCATAAACAGTATAAATCAACCTTCTAAAATCATATTCATTAATTTAAAATTTAAACTTGACAATTAGTTTAACAACAATTATTCATCAAATAAAAAAGACAAAAATACAGAAAGAAAGAAAGAAAGAGAGGAAGAAAGAAAGGAAACAATAAACGTTTGCTTTTACACTTTAGACTATTTATTTATTTAAGTAATATTATCAATTTTTTTTACTTTTAAAATAATAATAATAATAATACAGACAGAAATTTCAATTTATGTTTCTGTGTAAAAATACCCCCAGGCTGATTTTTGAATTTTTATCAAATAAAAAAAGAAAAGAAAAAAGAAAAAAACTATTGAACTTTTAATATTTTCTGTATAATATGTGTATACTTGTAAATTAACAGAATATATATATATATATATATTCTATAGTGTAAAACTGTCTCAATAGTTTGAGATAGGCAAATAATTATAATAATAATAATAATTATATATATATATATATATATAAATGTATGTACAAAAGCAAACATACACACATACATAGATACATACATAAAGAGGCATAAAACTGTTTCTATCTTGATTTTCACGAATATATCAATTGTTGTTTTGTATTAATATTTTATTTATTTGTTCATCTCTATTCATATTCATTCGTTTAAAAATCTTATATCTTATTTGTAGAAAAATGTATACGCACTAAATATGACGCGTAAACTATACAAAAATATACGTGTATACGCACGCACATGCGCGCACACACACGCACATACACATACACGCAAACATACATTCAAAACACAAGTACATATAGACGTACATAAAAATATACGTACTTTTTTTTCTAAATATTGTTATTTAAAGCGGCTTAAAAAGAAATCTATCCATTTCTAAATTCTAATCGACTAATAGAATAAATAGACTGAATTAAATGACAGACGAAAACTATATATATATATATATATATATATATATATATATTTATATAGAGATAGATATATATGTATATTTTAAACTTCCCTTAGTTATTAGTTGGTAAAAGGCCGAAAGGTAGTAAACAATTTCATTACACATAGATAGAGGAAGAAACACAGCACCTGATCTCTTTGTTTTTTCGTTGGTTTGAGAATTATTCAAGTATATATATTTATGATAATTTGGAATGTAATTACAACATATGAGAGAGAGAGAGAGAGAAGAAAAATCAATATTCTTACTTTATTGTTTATCATTTATTTTTCCAAAGACAATTTATTATTTTAAAAAAAAGACTGAATTCTCTTATCATAAGATGGTTTGATTTTATAATTATATATAGATTATATGTGTATGTGTTAACCGATTATTAAGAAATGACCAATATCATGTATTTTTTTAATCCTTAGAGTTGGTCGAGTTCTATATATCCAGTTAAAATGATGCCTTAAGTTCCAGTAACTTGATAACATATGGACTATTTTTATATGTTAAATAGTTGGATCTAGTCAAGGACAGTTTGTGCCTGAAAAACTCAATCTTAACTTCTCAGATTATAAAACCACATGACACAGGTTCATGTTTTATAAGGAGTATTGATCTGCTGTAGGACCTTGTTATGTCGTGTTGCCATGTGTTAACTAGCTTGAAACCTATATTCAAGGTTTCTCGATTATCTGTAACCTCTAGACATATATATATTTCAATGAATTGATAGGCTAAATAGTCACGTTTATTTTGGAATCTGTTTCAAACAAGCTCATTTAAATGCCTTGTCAACTATTTTTTTAAAATTCATGCTAATTAATATAACACTTATGTATTGTATATCTTCAATGTAATTTAAGAATCATCATTTATCTAGTAACAACAGAGAAATTCAACTAATTATCCGTTGTAAGGTTAATAGTGAAATATTTAACGAAATTCTGCCTACTAATAAAGTTGTTTGAAAATACACATTCAACGTGCAAACATTTTATTCATTAAAAAGTCCATTAATTCATTGATGATAATATTTAGTATAGAAAATGAAAATACATAAAGGATAAATTAATTGAATTTATGCCATACTACAAGTACATAGATAATGCAATCGACAATAAGTAAATCCTTGAATAATCTTAAAAATCTATATTTAATAATTTTTAATAGGTCGTGGGTTCGAATCCCGTGAGACGGGGTCGTGGATGTGCACAGCTGAGAAGTTCTACAATAGAACAAAACGGCCATCCAGTGCTTCCAGGTTTTCCATAGTGATCTAGCTTCAATTGACTCGTGGTCTCAACTGTTGAAATTACTACAATCTTCACAAAACCCTTTCTGATACTAATTGTTGATATGTTACGTATTTTGTATATAAGTATGTGTAATGCTGTTGATTCACATTTTGCCAATCAATTATTCCATTTTTCTGACATTTGTCTAATAAGAGCATTATATATCAACGATATATATCTATGAATAATTATAATGAGATCACATTAATCGGAAAGACTAATGTTTATGGACGATATTTGAACGACGCTTAAGTGTCCTTAAGAATGTCCACTTATTTAGTAAGGCTAAATGAGAGTTATAAACTTGTGTGAACAATAAGGATTATGATTTACAAATAATGTCACGAAATGATATCAGCTCAAATGCCAAAATATTATTTGGACAAAATAATTGAGTAAATTTCGCACCAAAATCCAAGACTTGTTATCGTGAATCTTCCCCCAAATGCCCTGGTACGGCCGAGAGTGGGGAGAGTCAGCTCTCCCTCTCGAAATACTCTCACATAGCCACGCCTATATAGCCTCTGCCATGGAAGTTCTACTCACTGCCTTCTCGCACCACGGGTGTTGTTTACGAAATTGAGAGGACGAAAAGCGAATGTCCGTTGCTTTAAAGGGGTTGGTGAATACGAAGGGTCTAGTCAGTAGACTTGGGAAACCCTGATTCCGAACCACTGATGTACATGGGCTGAGGGAACAAATAGTGTATGAACCAATCGTTGGTCACCGGCTATCATGGGACTGCATCTCCTCACGTCGCTCCACTGCCTTGTGGATTAGACCTTTATGTCGAAGGCTCGGGGGTGTGGTACTCTGAGGAAAGAACCGGTCACGGTTTGTGCACCCGGGCAGTATTCCAGCCCTCACACAAATCAAGTGATTTGTGTGGCGCATATGTATCTGGTGCCCCCTTGTACCAGTATCTATGTGTTTGAAATAAATGAAATAAATAAAAATATACTAAATCTGACTGGTTCATCCATAAATTATATTTTTGCTGATTAATCACCTCAATTTAAACAAAAAATCATGCAATCTTCACAGTCATGCACATTTCCTTTGTTATGAAAATGATACTGTGTCGATCTACTTATGTTTGGCTGGTAAATGTTTAGGTGTATATAACATAATTAATAATATAGAAAACAGTAAACAGTAACATTGAAATAATCTTGGGATTATTCCGAAAGAGTCTTTATAATTCAAAAGTATTTTTCTACAGAAATAATGAAACATTAAAGTTTAGTGAATTTAAAAGTTATTTTCTTTGTTTTTCAAGGTTTGTTATCTATTTTACGATCTGAATATTGAAGAAACATCATTGAATACCGTTGAACTTATCATAAGAATTATATACTTATTTCCTGAATCCATCACATTAGCTATAAATAGTTTGATAGAATATTTATTTATTAACAAATTCATTGAAAAATTAACAAGATGTGGGTAATGAGACAAAGATAAGCGGAAGTAATATATATATATATATATATATATATATATATATATATTAACATTAGATATTTTAATATTTCTACTTTACCATTTCATCTGTTATTCAGTTAATTATCAGTAAACTCAAATGCCCTGATACGGCCGAGAGTGAGGAGAGTCTGCTCTCCCTCTCCAAATGCACTCACATGGACTCGCGTATACAACCACTGACAGGGAAGTCCTACTCACTGCCTTCTTATGGCCGAGGAGTTGTTCACTAAATTGAGAGGACGAAAAGCGAATGTCTGGCAATTTAACTGGGTTGGTGGACACAGAGGGTTCACATAGGGGAGTTGGAAAACCCTAATTCCAAACTAATGGTGTACATGAATTTCAGGATCCTAAGAAAACAAATGGCATATGAACCTATTGTTGGTCATCGGCTACCATTGGATTGCATCTCCTTACGATGCTCCATTGCCTTGTAGATCAGACCTTTAGGTCGAAGGCTCGGGGGTGTGGCCCTCTAAGAAAACCATCTGTTTCGGTCTGGGCATCCGGTCAGTATCACGGCCGACACACAAACCTAATGAAATTTATGTGGCGCATATGTATGTCGTTCCCACTTGTACCAATATTCATGTATTCAAATAAGTAAATAAATAATAATAATACTATGAACATAGTAATGTGAGATAAGAAATCATTAGTTTAACTATTACATACAACCTATGCATAAAGAATCACTTGATACATTTTACACGGTGATTTCTATTCTTTGATGAATGAAATGACTTTTTTCCCAATCATTTAGATTTGTAAAAAGATATTCTTAATTTTTTTAGCTTTTTAGTTGATATGACATAAAAGTCATTCTTTTCTCTTTCTTCTTCTTCTTCTTTTTTTTTAACTTCTCTTAATAAATCCAAATCTGTTCTCTTGGTTCTGATTGGTTAGTTTTGAAATGGTAATTTTATCAATATATTTATATATATACATATATGTTGGAATATTGATTTCAACAAATTAATCAATAATGAAAATAAATAAATAAATACTAACAATATAACTCTTTTATTGCCCAACTCACCTATACATAATACATCTGAGAATGCATGTAAGAATTCAATAATCATAAGACAATTTCCAAACATTTTTCTAGTCATTCTATTACCTGGGATTGAATCCAGTTTTGGTATTGGCTAAATATTTTGTAAAAAAACAAAAGGCTTTATATATATCTGCATTCAGTTAACAGATGAATATGCTTTACTTAGTGATAAGATCACCAGATAGTGATAACCAATGACGAAATATCCCAAAAATAAACACCCTTCCCATTGAATTCAACTTTATGAATAAATTAAACCATTTAATTAAATTGTAGTCAGAATTTGATTTGAAATTTCGTATGTAACATTAACAATACTGTGTACTTCTTTTATTTTTTTTCAAATCAATAATGTACACAGTAAACAATGATACATGAAATAGCGGTTACTGATGAGTTGTGTTGTTTAAATTTCTAAATTTTATGAATTCTGTTGAGAAAGCGAAACTCCGCCTGGAGCCCCTCTGAGGCTACTGACGATTTCAAGCCCGGATAAAGTAGGAGGGTTGAGCATAGGGTTAGCGACTCCATCCCGTAGAACACTAACTCTCTAAAAATACAAGTGTCAAAACAGTTCTAGTGTATGGGGTAGAAACTTGAAGAACTACGAAAGCCATCATCCAAAAGATACAAGTGTTTATTAATAGCTGTCTACGCAAAATACTTCGCATCGGTTGGGCAGACATTGAGAAAAACACCGAAGGCAAGCTTGTCACTTGGAATCCACAAGGTTGTAATAGAGGAGGAAGAATAAAGAACACATTACGCCGACAAATGGAGGCAGATATGAGAAAAATGAACAAAAATTCAACAGAGTTGGAAAGAAAGGCCTAGGACAGAGTGTGTTGGAGAATGCTGGTCGGCGGCCTATGCTCCATTGGGAGTAACAGGCGTAAGTAAGTAAGTAATTGAGAGAGCGATAAATAAATTTAAATAAACTGGGAGCCTTATGAAAATGAAGTACAACTGATCTTTTAAAGGCAGACTAACATGGTGAGAATGGTAAGCAGTTTACGGCTTTGACAGACGGAATAAACTCTTGATACAAGGAATGATTTTTTCCAGCTTGATAATTCTATAACTGTATAGTTAATTCACGAATATAATTTCAAACTGATATTAAATGTTTTTATAGATATTTTAGTTTCCAGCTAACAGTAGAATTCAAGGCTTGTCAACTGAATATACCTGGATCCTAGTCTAGACAATCACAGCTGTAATAGATTAGAATGAGAATATAATATCTACTACGTTACGAAATTTATCTTTTATTTATTGGCATTATTTGACGACTAAGACAAACTTCAAATGGTAAAACTATGGTATATGAACGAGTTCGAGGAATTCTCAAAATGACTGCATAATGCCATAATCCTTTTTTATTCTACTAACATAGAGCTATAAGTATTTTCCAACAAATGCATTGAAACATTTTACACTTTAGTTATTTTGGGAATTTTACTGGTTTGTCAAATGATATTATCAGTTTTTTTATCATTACGTAATATAATTAATCTGAGTGTTAAGTTACTGACTCTAATGAATTATTTCTGAATCTTTCTCATAGTGATAAGTTGTTTTGTAGAACATTCATCCCCGACGAAATCCTTGCCAATAAATTCTTGGAAGAGTTATTAAGATGTAGTCATAGGAGAAGTATAGCTGCTGTCATATCAAAATGAAGAATTCATTACCTATTTTGGTAGTCCTACTTCATCAGTTCATCTACCATTCAGTGGACCAACGATGGAATGATTTCATTGCGAGTAAATTGAAATGAGGACCGATTGATTCTGTGGAATGTACAAAGTTATTTCAATAGAACCTGAATTTGATGGAATATAAAACATTCCTTTTTGAAAATTGCGCAAAAACCGAACGGATTTTCCTATCTTGAATGGCCCACCCCTTACGACATTTCTATATTTAGTCGAGAGGACCAACCTAGTTTCAACTTGGATTTAATCCCACTTAGAACTTAATTTGAATTCCCTTTCAAAGTCAATAAAACCGTGGTTGAAAAAGTAATGGGGGATCTTGGAGATTGTAATAATTTAGTAGTTGAATTCCTCAGTCGATTCAAACTAGACCACCACGAAAAACCTGGAAGCATTGAGCGGCCTCTCCGTCGTAGTATGGAACTCTTCAGCAGTGCGCATTCACGATCTCACACACGAGACTCGGACCCAGAGCTTCCAGTTTTGCGCGAGAACACTTGACTCTCAGAACATTGAGTCGGCCGGCATTCAGCGGTATTGATGTTTAACTTCAATGGATTTTGCGCAACCATTCATTCATTGTCTGAGGTAGATACCTGTCTCTACCTGACACGACTTCTCACTAGAACTCCAGGAAATAGATCTTGAAGCCAGTCACTTGTATTAACAATAGACTATCATGAAATAACTTACTTTAGGATCAATCAAACGTAGGTCTTCTACTGGCTTCTTTAATTCTTGTTCAATAAGTTCCCGAATTTTCTATTGAGGATAAATAAGGATTATATCAACGAATATATATTATAAAAATTCACATGTATAGAAATTTAAGAATATATGTCATATAATATGTTTAAATGGAAGTGACTTTTAGTATAAACATTATTTACCCAATAGGATGGTGTTGACAATTACAGATGTATGATTTTATAAAGTGATGAAACTGAGAAGATTGTTTATGACAACAACTCCTGGTGACTGATAACGAATATTTGGGACGTGAACAAATCAGTTACAAATCTGATTTGATATATGTAATACTGTGGTAAACAGGAACACAGGCTGGGACAACCAAATGTATTTGAATACAAAGTAACAGAATTTCTTAATAAAATCTGAGAATTATGTAGTAAATAATTCATTTGCAAAATATCCATCAACTGTTTCAGACTTTTTAAGCAAAGATGGATAATGGCTAGCACTGAAATCCAGGACGCGCGTTTCGTACCATTTTGGACTCGTCAAGTGGATGTACCTGAGTCCCAGAGTTGATGGCCATTCTGGGACTCGAACCCAGTACTGTTCGCTTCAAACACCATCGCGTTACCCACTTAGCTACTGAGTCCTGATAGCCACCTGCAGTCCTAAATAACAATGGGAAGATACAAGTAAAACAACACCAAGTGGATTTGTTTCAGACTTTGTTGTTCTTTCGTTACCATAGCAATCACTCTCTGTTCTTATTCTCATGTCTTTAATTTTCTCAACCTTTCGGTTGGTCATACATACTACTTATATATCTCGACATCAGTAGCCCACACCAAAGTACCATTATTCTAACTGCCAATAATTTTTAAACGATATGTTATGAAATTGCATTTTACTTCCAAAATAATACAAATTTTACATTTATTGAGTCTAAGGGATTCTTTTTCAATGTACCCAACTATTCATATATTTTAACAGTCACTTAAATAATATTCATTTAATACTGTATACATACATACACAGGTACTTGTACAAGTTATATCTAGTTAAAAGACAAACTTGAAGGGATTGCTGAGTGATTTACATAAATGTCTATTGAATTACATACTTTACTATGGTATATTATCTTTAAATATGCACTTATTTGTTCTTGAAAAAAATGTTTGACTAATCCAATTTTCTTCATGTACAATTTTTCGTTTTTCTAAACTCTTACTTTTTTACACGATGAGATACGATGTGTGAAATAACTTTTTTTCAGAGCAGGATCATTCAAAAACTTTACAATTAATCAATTATCACTATGGAGATTTGTAGAAATGGTAGGATTTTCACAGCTTAATTCATGAGTCGATCTATGTTAGATCATCAATGAAAACCTGGAAACCCTGAACAGTCGTTTAGTCATAGTATGACACGAAACGTCCGTTCAATGCTTCCAGATTAATCAGTTATTGAAGTTATGTAGTGGTAGCATAATTCATCGATATGTAACTGATAGTATAACTTGCCTTTTCTTTTACTTCAAACATATTATGTGCATATACCTGAATATCAGTGTTGACGTCCGTATTGAGACTTTAACCCAAGCTTACCAAACACGATCTTGAACATTAATAACGAGGAATTACAAACACTTATTTTTAAAAAAAATTATCATTCATAATGATATTTTGCCAAGAGACGTAAATGTAGAGACTTAACTGCATTATGATCTGTCTATATCATATATAAAGATAATTAAAAATACATTATAAACAATATCTTTTTAATGAATTAAGTAGTTCCTACATTTGTTGGTTCCATTTGTCACAGGTTGATATCGTTTTAGGTATAACTGAAAACCAATGAACATTAGAAAATGATCTCATCCTAGTATGAAATACCTGAACAATAGCTAACCATGGACTCATAAATAGGGAAGTTCAGATATCACAATGAACGTTTGATCAAAACAATCACTAACTAATTCAATGTTCAATGATTTAAAGTTATCATCAGTCAATTTGTGTTATAACAAAAAGTTGATCATCCAATCCCACCGGTGACAACTGTTTCACTCTAAATGAAAATTAAACTTCACCAAAATTCTCCACAATAAACTTACATCCCTCTATTCAATTCCTGATAGGATTATAAGAATACAATAATGAATTGTTCAGCACTTACAAACATTCATATATTATCCCCTGATTTTTACTGGTACAATCTACCAATTAAAAACTCTTTCAATTAAATTAGTTTTTTTTCTTTTTTAATTTAAAAACAAAACAAAGAAACAATATTACATAATCAATTAATTTTACTTACCATTTCTTTTAATTGTTTTTGTTCTTCTTTTATTAATTCATCTTTTTCTTTTTGTAATTGTTCTTGTTGTTTAACAAATTCAATGAAAAAATTTTTTAAATATTCTTTTTCCTGACCAAAAAAAGGAAAAAAACGAAAACAGAAAGAAAGAAAAATGAAAGAAAAGAAGAGAAAAATGTTTAATAATAATAAATGTATATAAATAGTATTAAAAATCATATTAAAATAAACTATTCAAATGTTTCGGTTAAAAATATAAAAAAATGGAATAAGCTTAAGTGATTTGTATCAGAAGAGGTTTTGTGGAGATTTTAGTAATATCAATAGTTGAGATCACGATTCAATTGGAGCTAGACCATTATGGAAAACCTGGAAGCACTGAACGGATACTTCATCCTATTGCGAGACTCCTCAGTAGTGTGCATCTAGGACACCACCTCTCGAAATTCGAACCCAGGACCTATCAGTCTTTAGAAATAACTGAATGATTTTAATGTTAATTTTTTATCTGATCAGTAAAGAGGTTGTATAAATCATAAGTATATTTCAACAAATACATTGAAATCTGTTATAAGTCTCGGGATTTTAGGAAGTTTATTGTTTAAACAACGGATATTGTCAATTTTCCGATTTTAATAATTTAGAGCCCTCGAATGTTCTGGTACGGACGAGTTTGGGGAGAGTTAGCGCTCCACTTCGAAATACTTTCATATGGACACACGTACACAACCACTACCAAGGAAGTCCTACTCACTGCCTTGCCGTGTCGGGGGTGTTGTTCATCAAATTGAGAGGACGAAAAGCGAATGTTCATCTACTATTTAGTGATACAATGAATGAATGATTTCTTGGTAAATTAAAATGAGAACTGATTGATTCACATGCTTATGCAAAATGTAAATTTATAAATAGTGAGTACTTGATACCAAGGGGGATCGGATGCAGACGTAAAGGTGAGGATTGACAAGGCAAGGGCCGCATTCCTACAAGTGAAGAATATATGAAATTCAAAACAACTGTCAACCAATATCAAAGTCACAATCTTCAACACGAATGTCGAGACAATTCTACTGTACGGAGCTTAAACTTGCAGAACTACTACAACCATAATCAAGAAGGTACAAGTATTTATAAATAGTTGTCTACGCAAGATGCTCAACATCCATTGGCCGGATAGAATCAGAAACAGCCTTTTGTGGGAGAGAACCAACCAGCTTCCAGCTGAAGAGGAAATTAAGAAAAGATTATGGAAATGGATAGGACATACATTACGCAAATCACCAAACTGCATCACGACGCAAGCCCTAACTTTGAATCTTGAAGGGAAGCGAAAAAGTGGGAGGCCAGATAACACATTACGTCGGGAAATAGAATCAGATATAAAAAGGATGAATAACAACTGGAAAGAGATGGAAAAGATCGACCAGGAGATGGTTGAATAGCGAATACTAATGATTGGCCTATGCTCATCCACGAGGTGTAACAGATGTAAGGGAGCACATGATACATTTAAAACTATTATTTTCACTCTATGATATCAGAAAGAATTTGAGCAGCCAACTTTATATGTTCTATGTAATGTATAAAGTTATTTCTATCGAACCTATATTTGATTATAAATGAAATATATTCCTTTTCTCACCATCATACCTTTATTTCTTGAAACAAAATTGAAAGGATATCATTGAATGATATTATGATCAAAATACCATAAGCTTAATATTACCCCCATTTGATTTATACAAGAATATCAAATAAGTAAATGATCACTTCAATAATTGTTGAATGATATTTTAAATTTTAAAAAATTTGGTAGATTTTTTGATTTTTTCTGAATAATAATAGACTAGTCTATTGAACTGTTTCAATGTTTAATGGTTATTACAATTTCATTACATAATTTGAAATAGTGATTATGATTCGGATTTACAAATTCACTCTTCAATCTTCAGAGATAATATGATAGTCATAATAGCTACATAACACGTGGCCCTTTTTCCATGGTGATCTGGCTTCAATTGACTCATCATTTCAACCATTGAAATTACTATAACATCCTGAAAAACCTCTTCTGATACAAATCAACATATGCTCACTAGTGACTGTTTTCAAGAGGTAGTGCCTGGAGTTCTAGTGAGAAACTGTGATTAGTGGAGTTCAACCAGGTCTGTTGTGAGATAGTAACTCACTGAACACAATGGTGGATGTGTCGTTCAATTTCGTGGATTAGTTGAAATTAGACGTTAACACCGTTTGATGCTGACCAGATCAGTGGTCTAGAGGTTAAGCGTTCGCGCGAGACCGATAGGTCCTGAGTTCGAATCTCGCGAGATAGGTTCGTGGATGTGCACTGCTGACGAGTCCGACAATAGGTCGGGGTGGTCGTCCAATGCTTCCAGGTTTTCCATGGTTATCTAGCTTTAGGTGACTCATAATCTCAACTACTGAAAATACTATTTTAATGTAAAGGCTTATATATATATATATATATATATATATATATATATATATATATATATATATATATGGATGACAATATGAAGAGTTTATATTTTATATTGACGTATAACTTACAGCTGAATTTTGTTGATACAATGAGTTTGTTGTATTAGAAGGAAGATGAGAATAATTATCATCTGAACTGGATAAACTGGTTGATTTAAGTACATTTCCTGATGTACCATTATATGATCCATGATGTGTTTTTTCATTTGTTAGTTGACATAACTGTTGATTTTGTACGGGTACATCCTGATTTTTTGTATTATTTAAACATATATCTGTTTTAGGATGAACTTGAGTAACATGACATGGAAACATTTTCACTTGATTTGGATCCATAAAAGAACTAGTAGGAGTTAAAGATGAATATGTTGAAGTAATAGAAGAGTTGATTTTTTCTTGGGATGGACAAAATGAATAACTAGTATCACAAATAGATTTCATCTCTTCTTGACTATCGATTTGCGGTAAACAGGCTGAAAATAAATAAGAGCATTTTACAAACTTTAACAAAGCCAATTCAAGTGCTAAACTGTTTTAAAATACAGTAATCCTCATTATTTATTTTAGAAATATGTTGATATTCATATCATACTGGAATCAACGATAATATTAATGTATTTTCTTAGAAACTACTCATTCAGTAAAAAAGTTATTTAAGTAATCTGGAAATTTTTTTTATTTCTATAATCAGGTATAAAATAATGACATTCAAGATGGTGATTTAAATTTTTAAACTGAAAAGATCAATAACAAACAATGAACCTTAAAGAGATGCTTTCTTTTAAAAGTCATCACAACGTTATATATCTCTCGACTTAATTGTTAAATACGATGAACAATTCCTGCAACAATTACAGATTGATCGACAAGAAATGTTATGTGAAACTTCAAATTTAAGAAGTTTTGCGATATCCAACAATAACAATTATCATATACATGCAAATGACTAAAATCAACAGATGATTTCCTGAGTTCTAGTGAGAAACCATGACTAGTGGAGTTCATTGATGTTACACATGAAACAAATAACACTAATATTAATCAATAATGATTGTAAAATATTGTGAAAAGATTAAGTTTAAGCATGTATACCATTAGATGCCAACATCGTATTCGCGGAAGTTAAGCGCTATTAGCAAAACCTAAAATCTTAGAGTTCGATCCTTGGTGAAGTTGTGGATAGATATTATTGAGAAGTTCTATATTAAAATAAAACAGGTATCTGTTACTTCCTAGATCTAAATGTTTAATAATGTGATGATCCATATTTGTACATTTTCAGTTATATCTTATAGTAGGAGAATTTTCCAATTGAGAAAATGTCCCATAAATAATCGATAATAATAATAATAATAATAATAATAATAAGAAGAAGAAGAAGAAGAAGAAGAATAGATCAATTAGTTCATACTGAATCACTAACCTTTAGAATCAGCAACAGTATTCAAATTACATTTTGTTGATGATGCACAATTATTTAAATTTGTTTCTGTGAATTCAGATTGGTTGAAATAATTTCCTGTTGTATTAGACACCTTCTATAAGATTTAATTCAATAGAAGATAGAATTACTTGGTCAATAAAGCAATATATAGATATACATTTATCCAACCATTACTAATAAAAGTGATGGAGTTAGAGAAGACAGTCAAATGAATTTTTTTTACATGAAAACATGATAAATTATTCATAGGCGATGTTTAAAATCTGACATCAAACCCTTACTGGCTATAATGTGAATGCACCGTTGAAAAGGATGCAAATAATAATTTTAATGTTACAACATGAGGCCAACCAATATTAAATCTTGTTTTGTTTTTTCAATAAAAATAAACGACATCATAGAAGTAAACCAACTGGACAACAATGATCTCTGTGTAATCAGTAATACCAAAATGTCAAGAGTTAACTAATTGATGATCAATATTCGTTACATGTACAATATATTCATTTAATTAGTAATCCTTATATAAGTCATTTATAGAGTGAATAAGTTATATTTTCCATTGCACTAAACACTGCAATGATGAATGGATTCAAAAATTTAGAAGAATTGGAAAGGTTAACAGTCAACTACATTTTTAGCTTTAAGATTGATGAACTTGTAATATTGATGAATTTTTAAATTTTCGTAACGTCAATAACTTTAGTTAAGAATTCTGGGAAATTATATCGAAATTAAATCTTTAACTGAGTCAATAGTACTTGTTTTATAAAAAAAAATCGAAGGTATAGTCACACTCAGTTTTGCTAAATGATAAGATTGAAATACGTAAATGTTAAAACTTGTGACCGCCGATTAGAGAGCAGTGACTTATCGATCCGATCAATGATGTGTAAACCTGTACGAGCAGCTTAGAGTCCTGACTGGTCTCGCTTCTTGCCTCCTAACCCAGCCAGTTAAATCAGAACACCAATCCGAACCTCTGCGATATGAATCATGTATTTCAAACATACTCTGTTTATATACCAATCAAGCAGACCACAACGTACCATAAAATAGGAAATAACATTTGCACAAGATTTAGCCAAAGGTGGCTGTGAATGAGGGAGGTAGTGATTAATAAGGAGGAAATAATTCAAGAATGGAAAATCGTATAATAACTGTTCATAGGTTTAAATAAAGCTTATGATAAGAGAGACATGAATATGAATAGTTTAGTTAAGTAAATTATTGAATATTGGCTCAGCGGCCTTATGGTTAAGTGCTCGTCACAATATCTGAATGCCCTGGGTTTGATTTTCATTGTGATCATCAATATGCACTAATAAGAAGTTGTATACTAAAACAAACTTGCTCTCTATTACTTCTAAGTTTCCACTAGTTATCTAAATAAGATCAGTTAATTAGTAGTGAATGTTAAGGTGATTTTTATTTTGCTGAAAATTAGAACTTTAGCGTGAATAAGTTTACTCTATCATAATTTTCATTTAGAATAGAAATGAATGATTAGTAATAATAACCATACACAAAAGAATCGTCATTACAAACATTAAAACAGTAATATTGTTCAATGAGATAATAATTTCTATGAAAAGTAACAAAAATGCTGGCTTCAAGAGGTATGCCCTGGAGTTCGTTTTAGAAGCCGTGACCAGTGGAGTTCAGCAGGGTCTGTTGAGAGATAGTAACTCACTGAAGACAATGGTGTACGGTGGCGAAACTTCGTAGATTGTTTGAAGTTAGACATTAACACCGTTGGTCTAATGGTTAAGCGCTCACGCGCGAGACTGATGGGTCCTGGTTTAGAATCTCGCTAGGTTGGATCATGGATGCTCACTACCGAGGAGTCCCATACTAGGATGAAACGGCCGTCCAAAGGTTACAGGTTTTCCATGGTTGTCTAGATTTACTTGAGTCGTGAATCCAACTATTAAGTAAAAAGCTATTAAAATTCCTACTAACGAATCTAAGGTCGTTTACAGTAGCATTTTTTAAATATGATTACATGGTTGTTTTCCTTCTATAAACTGAAGAATAGTAATTCATGAACATGTTTAGTAAAGTTATTATACCATTTGATTATGTTATGAATATTATCAGAGGAAGTAAATTGAAGTTTAACAGTTCTGAAAAGATGCGGAATTCAAGATAAATAATTTCATTTGATACAAGATTATCTCGATCACTGTTAGAGATTTATGGGCGGTTGACATTTCCCTGTAGCTAACACTGTGGAAGGATACTTGTACTTGAGGAACATGGGAATGAAATTGGGTTAGTAATAATCTTTTCAACTTTGGAGAGTGATTTTAAGGCCCAAGGTTTAACATTCAATACCTCTTCTTGATGTGCCAGCTCCATTATTTTTCAGACATTATCATCGGCTTTAGAAGCCCATGAAGAAAGTTAAGTATTCTTTTTTAAGATCGACACTTTCAACCGTTTTCTTCCTCCGTGATAAAACATCTTGACTGGAGATACTGATTATCTGAAGAAAAACATTTGACTCTCGTCTTTACCAGTACAGTTCGGGGTACAACTTGCAATCAAACCTCAGTTTGCTGCTTTTAATCTTACTGTTCTTTAGCTAACCCACCTATCAATACAGTGTCTTAGAGAAAATGTGTTCCAGTAAGTATGACTTGAGTGGATCATCATGATAGGCGAATCTAATTACAACGTCAAGATAACAGCTACGATCAGGCACAGACACATCACAGATCATTCTCTAGGTTAATATTCGAATAACTAATATATACAGTAAGTTAACAATTTAGAAATAATCCGTTAGATAATTCAAGAATTTAATCCTATGATTCTCAAAAGATAGTTCTTTATTTTCTTTGTAATGATAAAATTAATCAGTTATTCTAGTTGGCAATCACTTGTAAACATTAATATTATTTAATAGTTGAATTCACAAGTCGATTGACGCTAGACCACCCTAGAAAACCTGAAAACACTGGATGACCGTTTCGTCCGAGTATAAGACTCCTCAGTATATATTATTCATAAGATTTTTTAAATATTAATGAGAATTTTTACAGACAATATTAGGAACAAAATTCATCCATTTTATAGATTGTTCTTTTTTTTTTTAAAGGCTGTTTAACTTAAACCATGTTATGAAATTTAGTATTATGTAACACATGAAAAACAACCATTTGAAAAACAAACTTTTAGAGTAACATCTGAAAATACAAAAAATCAAGATAACATTAGCATGAGAGATATTTCCATTCTTTTTGTTTTGAAAAAATATTTTAAATAAGAACTCACATCTTGAGGGTTATTTTGATTACATAGATCTTGTCCAAGAGCATTCAAAAACATAACTCCTCCTAACATACCAATTTGCCTAACATTTTTAGTAACATCTTGTAGATTCCATCTACAATGAAAATATACACAATTGTTTGTAATCATATTTCATTAAAGGTTCCTATAAACAAATCTTTCTAGAAAAGTTATTATTTCTATGATTATATTGTAGCTTACATGTTCAATGCATGAATAATTAATTAAATATAGTTTATATTAATTATCATAGTTGAAAATTCTGAACATAATAAACAAAACATTCACTTTGGTTTCGATTGATTTTTTTTTTAGAAAAAACTTGTTTCCATTATAACTTACTTTCATATTATTTGTTTAAACTTCCAGGTTATTTATTTGAACACAAATATCGGTACAAAAGGGCACCGAACACACATGCACCACACAACTCACTTGATTTCTCTGTCCCCCGTGATAATGACTGGGTGCCCAAATCGAAACAAGTGGTTTTCTTAGAGGATCACACTCGGAGCCTTCAACCTAAATGTCTAATCCACAAGGCAGTGGATCAACATAAGTAGATGCAGTCACATGTTAGCCGGTGACCAACAATAGGTTCATACATTATTTGTTCCTCTAGAATCTTGGGGTCTATGTACGCCATTAGTTTGGATTCAGGGTTTTCTACCTCCCCTATATAGACTCTCTTTATCGATTAACCCGGTTAAAGCACCCGATATTCGTTTGTCATCCTCTCAATTTGATGAACAACACCCCCGCCAAAAGAAGGCAGTGAGTCAGACTTCCCTTTCAGTGTCTGTATACACGTGTCCATGTGAAAGTATTTCCAGATGGATAGCTAACTCTCCCTATCCTCAACCATACTAGGACATTTGAGATCAATCAAATTTTAACATCTTCACATAGTTCTACTTAATTATACTTCATATAGATTTTTTTTCTTAATATCTTAATTGAGCAAATCTATAATTTAGATTAGACAATTAATGTTATCAAAACAAAAAAAAAACGATTTTTGGGGAAAAATATACAAAATCAATAAGGTTTTATAATCATGTTACATATTAAATGAATTTGGATTTTTATAAAAAACAAAAAAAAAAAACAAAAACAAACAGAACTACAGTCGGATAAACAATATGACTATCATTTTGAATTTTATACTTATGAGATAAGATCAATTACATAACATATGAAAGCAATTAGAAATCTTATTTTTTTTATTACAAAATAAATCAAACATCTTTATCAAAATAAAAATGAAACAATTTTATAACAAATTTGGTTACTTGAATCTTCTTATTTATATTTAGAACTGTAATTGATTAGTCTCTTATTGGTATATGTGTATAACTCACCCCCCCATTGCATAAGCAAACGGCGATTAGAATTTAGTTGCTAAGTGGATAATATGATGGTGTTTGAAACGAATGGTATTAGAGATCAAATCCTAGATTGAAAATCAATTTTGAAACGCAGATACATCTAGTTGATGAGTCTTAAATAGGACGAAACATGAGTGTTGTAGATTCTACTGCTAGACAATATCCATCTTTATTTAAAAATATTATTATGGTTGTAAATAAAAAAGATATCAGTATTTCTTTTCTTCTATGTCTATTTGTAAAATATTTGCTTATTAGCCCAGATTGATATTGAAATTTACAATTATATGGATAATTTTTTTCATTACTAAACTATGGAAATATATTATCTTGTTGTAGCTGGATAAGGGGCATGACTACTGAACAGGTGATAGATGAATATGAACGAAATAACATGTTATTATCCAGAAGATTAATCAATTTGATTTTTTTTCTAGTGTTGATTTATATTGTGTCGCTTCAATCATGAAAACATTATTCGTTTTTGACAAACGTAATTGAGATGATAGAGAAGATTTGGTGGAGATTCGTTCTCTGACTTGGATAGCTTAATTTTTAGGTTAATGTTGTTCTTCTGAACAACACTAACAGAAACTTCCCTTTGGAGTTTGTCTTGATCAGGTTGTTCAGAAGAACTATGAAAGTTTCACGGTTAATTCATTTAGGTTAAGAAATGAAACTCTTCTGTTGGTGAAGAGGAGAATGACAATAGTATAGCTATCTTTGATGTCCTACTTTCTAGAAGGATAGGCATTTCCATAAAAAGAAAGAATACATGGACAGGTCAGTATACCCATTTCCATTGCTTTATACCTCTTCAATACAAAACAAATTCGGTTAAACTTCTCAATCACAGAATTAAACTAGTATGTTCTGAAGATAGTGTGTACAGCGAAGTATATACACTAAAGAACACATAAAGAAATAACGGCTATCCAGATAGTTTCTGCAGAAAATCCTTATTAGAATGCATTAAAAATAGAATAAACTGTGACTCATTCAGCAAAAAAAACTGTTTTTGAAACTGAACTTTGAGGGAGACATAGGAGGGATACTTTAACACGTCGACTCAAAAGAGCTGTTGAAAATATGTTACACGCCTCCAAATTACATGTAATTTTCTCAACTAAACCACTACTTACACAACAAATCCAGAATAGGTTACTAATGATGAGCTCCTCCATGTGTATATATCAGTTCAGCTGCTCCTGTGAAGCTATTTATATGAGCCGTACTCAGAGGACTTTATCCTTGAGTGTTCGTGAACATGTGCCAACATGGTTGGGAAAAGGAGTTATTCAATCGATCGACAGTACTATTCTTTCTAACTTGGTAGATAGTGAACATCATATCAAAATAGAAAAAGCTTTCTTTTTTTATATCAAGTTTCAAAGAAATCTACCTCAAGGAACTGGATTATGGCTATTCTACATAGCCAAAGTCATCTGGATCAACTTCAGAAAACCGAACTTATGTATCCAGAAAAGGTATATCCAGCCTCTATTTTTACCTTGGCCTATGACTGGATTATCGGGTACCTAAACTAAATATTATAAACCTGTTACATCCCTTCCTCCCTTGTTTTATTACATCTATCTTAATCTTCATATCCATCTTTCTCGATTCACATGACTTCTTATCATTATTATATTACATCGATTAACAAGATGAAATGTTCCAACTGTGCATTTTATCCACATGATTTTTTCTCATTTTCATTTTGTTCTTTTATTGTTATATTGAATGTGACTTGACACTATTCCAAATCATTCTGACCTTTATTAAATGACCTTTTTAATTTTACAAATAACACAATTTTGAAGTATATATGTCGTAACAAATGTAAACGTTCATCATGATTAACAAATAACATTGTCAAATTCATTAATGCATGCCTTATTTTGGCCTTTGTAAAAATATGGACTGTATATATTAAATAGCAAGAATGTCAAAAGGGATTTTGTGGAGATTGTGATAATTTCAACAGTTGGGATCATGAGTCAATTGGAGCTAGACCATCATGGAAAACCTGAAAGCACTGGACGGCCGTTTCGTCCTAATATGGGACTCCTCGGCAGTGCGTATCAACAACCCTGCCCCCCACGAGATTCGAACCCAGGACCTATCAGGAAGAATGTATTTGTAACATTATCAGCGAATGAATTTTGAAGTAAATCCAATGTTTCACCTGGAAATCTGATCCAAACTTTTTCAAGGAAACATAACTGTAGAGTCCGATAATGAAGTTATTGAAAACAATTGTTCGTCCATCGGTTTTGTAATAGTTGTAATGGTTGGACTGTTAATTAATTTAATGAGGGATTCACAATATGAAGTATTTTAACGACGTTCGAGGCAAACAGTGACTTGTTTGTTACTTTATTTAGCATTGTAAAATGAAAATAACCTTATCATCTTCAAGTTAACTTATATCAAGTTCTACAGTGATAAACTTTCAGATTATAATGGTTTTATAATGGTCTTATTTCCTTTTGACTTCAATTATAGTTAAGATTAAACGTTTCAATTACAGACGAGAGAATATACACTAGTCAGTTAGTCAGTCAGCTACAACGTAGGACCAGGTACATATATGCACTCTTCCTTGTGAGAAGGCATCGCTGTTATGCTGGTTGTCTGAAGGAAATACATTACTGCTGTCACACCTCTGTACAGTAAGCAGTACAGAGGTTATCTTCGGACCTTGGGTTTGCTGCTTTTAGTCTTACTGTTCTTCAACTGACCTGTCTGGCATGGTAGGACATTGAGGAACGATTGTTCCAGCCAGTATAACTCGATTGGTTGATTACGATAGGCAAGCCCGACCACCACATTAAGGTAGCAGTAACGGTCGGGAATATACATGAAATATAATATCATATCTTATTCAAATTTGAGACAGATTATAGATTAATAGCTACTAGTATAAATCACAATAGTTATACTGTGAATATATTAGATATCCTGGTAATTATTAAAATTGTAAAGTGATGGCCTAGTGGTTAAACAATTCGTGTTTGAAACAAAAGGTCAAAGGTTAGAGTCTTTCTACTTTCAATTTTAATTTAGCAGTTGGATAGTATATCATCACACAAACAATATGTTACGAAAGCTAATTAACATAAACGAACTTACTCGGAATGAATTGGGACATGTGAACTTGACTGTCCATGGGATATTAAAGATGGACTATTTGTATCTGTAAATAGAAAAATAAGAAAATTATAGCAAGACGATAAGTCACGTGTAAGATAGATTGTTACTTTGAATTTTATGTTAGTTTATATCCATTGATAGGTTATTTACTTCAGTGAACACACTTATTTTGGCTTAATGGTCTCTAGAACAAAATAATGTTGAGACAGGTTTTAAGATTTATTGCACTATATTTGACTTAACAATAATTTTGTGACCTATTAGTTAGGTTAGTTTGCTTCATGAGTCATACTAATTAGCAACCACTCAATAAGTTTTAAGTTTCAGTTTTAAAGTTATGAAATAGATTAGCATTTTATGATCACTATAAATGGGTCAACGGATTATCGGCTTAACTGATAAGCATTTGTTCATACTTCAAGTATCCAATAGTTAAAAAACAAGATCCTACTAGTGAGTTATACACTTATTTATATACATAAACTTGGAAGAAATATGATTAAAAGTCATTCTAGAGTGCTGGAAGTAATTATAGGTCATTACAAAACCAATGAATTTTAGCAATATCTACCAGACTTCGCATTTATTTGTATTATAATTTCCATAAAGAAACATCGACTGAAACTTCTTGATTTACATTGATGACTGATGTCAGTTTGACCACCATTGACAATCAGAAAGCACTAAACATCTGTTTTGTACCAGAATGAGATTCTTCAGCAATGCGTACTCATGAACCCACGGAGGAACCAGAACCCACAGGTCTAGTGCGGAATGCTTAACGTTTAGACCATTGAGTTGTGGTCTATATGTTTAATTTCTATTAATTTGTGACATTGTGCAACAATCACTCGCTCTGTTCGATGGTTAACTAACTCACAATCAACATCGTTAAACTCTACTGGTCACGATCAAACGATGACTTATTGTTTGTCTTTACATCCATAGTACGAATCTAAAAAGAGTAGAAACAGTCTACGAATTTTTTTCTTACAAAATAATTCCTTAGTTTTTATTCGAAGCCGTAAGTAGAACTATTGGGAAAGACTTGGAGTCCTTACAGATCCCCAGAACAGATGATGCATCAGATACACGACTATGCAGACTTTGTTGCATGAAAACAATCTTATCACTATTGAAGTCATTAACCGTGGTTTTACTAAATTATAAAAAGATAAGAACTCATTGCTTGACAAAAGCTGAGGGAATATTTAAAAAGCAGCTCAATGACCAAGTTGAAAATCAGGTGGGAAATTACTGTAAGTATAACAAATACACGAAATGAGGAATTAAGTAATTTAAGCCCTCAAATGCCCTGGCACGGCTCTCCCCTTCCAAATGCACTTACATGAACACGCGTATACAACCACTGACAGGGAAGTCCCACTCACTGCCTTCTTATGGTCGGGGAGTTGTTCACGAAATTGAGAGGACGAAAAGCGAATGTCCGGTGCTTTAACTGGTTTGGTGGACACGGAGGGCTCACATAGGGGAGTTGAAAAACCCTGATTCCAAGCCAGTGATGCATATGGCTTCCAGGATCCTAAGGGGACAAATAGTGTATGAACCTATTGTTCGTCACCGGCTAACATGTGACTGTATCTACTTATGTTGATCCACTGCCTTGTGGATTAGACATTTAGGTTGAAGGCTCCGAGTGTGATCCTCTAAGAAAACCACTTGTTTCGATTTGGGCACCCAGTCATTATCACGGGGGACAGAGAAATCAAGTGAGTTGTGTGGTGCATGTGTGTTCGGTGCCCTTTTGTACCAATATTTATGTGTTCAAATAAATAAATAAATCATAGTCCATAGGAAATTGCTGCACTTACCAGATAGTTTAGAAGCTGAATCTGAAGTTGTGCTCATATTTACAATGCATGAATCATTGTTATCAACCTCAGTTTGATCTTTACAGAATTGTTTGTTTGAAGTGATTCCTAATGTACTATATGCCAACTGGCTAGCTAATGTTGCAAGATCACCTTTACAATCAGCAATACTTTTCAGAACATCATCAATAGTTTCCTCCACACTCGATTCATTCCTATCAGTAGTCGTGCTAAATAACTTTTTTTCTTGAGAGTCTGGTTCAATTTTAATTTTGGATTCACTGAAACACATAGAACCTGGGAATATATTCATATCATTCATATCAGTAACACCATGTGTACTGCCTTTCAGTTTGGAAAACGACAGGTTGAATTCCGGTTTCATTTGAGAACAGTTTTGATCGCAGTGAGATATACTATCAGACACAACAGTTGAATTTCCTCCAGTGTTGTCCTTAAAAAAGGATGAAATATCAAAGGATAATTAAACTATACGGTCAAAAGAGAGGAAATTTACATGACACTTAAATGGGATAGCGAACTGGCTAAGTCAGTCACTATCAACATATGGTTTAGCAAAGGTTTGTTGGCCTAAATGCTCATACTGTATCATCATGATGAGAGGAAATTAGGTGGAAGCGTAACAAAAAAGATCGCAACAAAGTAGTAGCAATAACAATCAAAAAGACTAAGCATTAAGAATAGGGTTTTTAAAGGCAGCATGTAAATGTATATATGGAGGAATACTGGAATTCAAAATTGCGAGGAAGATAAAAGGTAAGTGCTTTTGGGCAATTATTAACGACCATCAGTCAAGCCATTCAAAATCTTCAGCCATTAATCGCAGTTATTGAACGGACATCAACCGGTATGGCTCAGATTAACAGTCAGTGATTTCATAAATTGATGTCGTTAACCACTCTTAGCCTTCTTATAACCTATTTGTACACCAGTGAACATCGTCTATAGAAGTGGTGGTTAGGCTTATGTAATACGTGTCATAACCATATCAATCGACGAGGATTAATGGCCTCGTCAAATGATTTTCCAACCTTGCCTAGTGCCCTATGCTTCAACATTGCTCATCCGGTCATTCCACGAAATGTCACCGATGCTCTGATGATACCGGCCGGTAGAAAACTGTCGACGCATATCTCTTACATTCAAAGACCATGCCTCACAACCATAAAGTAAGATTTCTGAGCAGTATACACGTCACCAGTGAAGTTAGAAAACATTAATCGAACTTTCTGAAACTGCGCCAGGATTTCGTCAAATAAGAGCTGAACATTTAGTTGTTTTCGATTTCCCCCATATTTTTATTCATGGAGTTCTTTTCACAAAAGTACTGAATTATGGTGAAAAATCGATGTGTAAACCTAATCAGGAAACAAAATAACTAAGTTGTATTTCAGTTAATTTGCATATTTTTATGATGTTAATTAAGAAAATTGTCTGTAATCCATTCTATATTTTGGAAGCTGATATAGGGGGGGTTTTTTCTCTGAACAAAATTCATCAACCCACTTTTTTTTCATTACTAGCAAAGTTGTTGAGGCAATGATTTTTAAAATTAATTTTTGCTTGCTCATTATCAGTATTATTTAAACTATTTAATACACCACAATATACTTGTGATTGTTGTGGTGAAGTATACAATCTTACTACTTAATTATAGTATACCGAAAATTAGTTTATATCTAATAATTTATACAGTTAGAATGCAGCTGGACGATCTAGACTTCCCAGATGATTTGGCTCTTCTATCACACAAATGCAGGACCAGTGTAGCAGCAGCCTCAGCAACAGTAGGTCTCAACATAAACAAAGGGAAAAGCAAGACTCTGATACAACACAGTATGCAACAGTCGAATCACACTTGACGGAAAAAACTTTAGAAGATGTAAAAACCTTTACATATCTGGGTAGCATGATTGATGAACACGGTGGATATGATGCAGATGTGAAAGCGCGGATCGGAAAAGCAAGAGCAGCATAATTACAACTGAAGAAAATCTGCAACTCTAAACAACTGTCAACCAACACCAAGGTCAGAATTTTCATTACAAATGTCAATACAGTTCTACTGTATGGGGAGAAAACTTGGAGAACTACGAAAGCCATCATCCAGGAGATGCCAGTATTTGTTAACAGTTGTCTACGCAAAATACTTTGGATCTGTTGGTCAGACACTATCAACAACAACCTATTATGGGAGAGAACAAACCAGATTCAACCGGAGGATGAAATCAGAAAGAAGAGCTGGAAGTGTATAAGATACACATTGAGGAAAGCACTCAACTGCATCACAATTCAAGCCCTCATATGGAATCCTCAAGGTTAAAATAGAAGAGGAAGATCACTGAACACATTACGCCGAGATATGGAGGCAGACATGAGAAAAATGAACAACAATTGGATAGAACTGTAAAGGAAGGCCAAGGACAGAGTGGGTTGGAGAATGCTGTTTGGTTGCCTATGCTCGATTGGGAGTAACAGGTGTAAGTAAGTAAGTAAGTATAAAATATTGTAAGGTATACCTATGAAATGAGAACAACTCTTCGATACTTTAAAGACGAGGCTAGAAAATGGGAGTGTGAAACTTGGATAACAACTATGGAGTAAATAAGCCTGTATGTCTTTGTTGTACAGTCATCAAAGAACTGCTTCATGTTATTATTTTACATGATCTCCATTGTAACGTATTTGGATTTATTAAATATTGTCGTATCTTTTCCCGTTCATAGATTACAAGTCAGTTAATTATGTGTTAATCAGCTTGATTTTAAAATGCCCTCATTGAATATTCACTAAAATTATAAATTGTAGTCTTGTGTCTAACTAATATAGACACGTCAGTTGTGATGGAAAATAATAATTGTACTGAGACTAATCCCTAAAACTTCTGTTATTCAGATTAGAAGTTGGGAGCCATCAGAATCAGCTTGACATGTGGATTAGGTGACAGGTACAGTAACGGCTTTGGCATAACTACTGTTAGTGACGTATATAAGAGCAGAACAGACAATAAAGTATTTAAATGTAGTGGGAAGGATAACTGGCGGTGACAATCGTCACTTAGTTCCATATAAAACTAGAGTGTCAGTTATTAAAAGACATTCTATACAGACTACTCAAATAATATACAACTATGTTCTGTTATCATCATTTACCCATCTCAGATCCATAGCCTAAGAATGACATTACGAATGGCTGTGATTCCTTATTGATTAACATTTTTGAAATATTCGGAAAGTCTTTATAACTTACACTATTTCATTCTTAAACCAGGATTTCATAAAGCAGTTTCATTACAGACAATAAGTGATTTATGTACATTACATGTGATCAACATACAAAAGTCGGTAATCAGTCTTACTAACCTGTGGTTGTTTATCGTTTTGAGTTGTCAACTGATTTCGTTTGTGCTGTTGTTGTTTACTTTGTGTTTGATATTGTACACCAGCTAGTTTTGGTGGTCTACCTCTACCACGATGAGTTGTCGTAGATGTAGTCGGTTGATCTGACTGATGATTTCTACTGGTCGTTCTTTGTCTTCCAGATAACTTTTTTGTGGTAGTAGACTTTGAACATGAGAGATTTGTTACTTGCTGTGATTGTTTCACAGATGTATTCTGTTGTCGATGTGACAACGTCTAAGAAATAAGATATAGTGGAAGAAGACAACTTAATGACGTAAATTAAAATTTATCAGTAGGATAAATTATCTATTGATTTTAAGTTTAATAACTGAACAAAGTTGAACACAATATGTACTTCAACAACCTGTGTTAACAATAAAATGGAATCTTAAGGCATTACCTGTTGAGACACTTAATTCGATATATATATACATGAGATGGTGGAAAAAATTTGTAGCTCAGATGAATGATTTTTGTGGAGTTTTGTTCTCTGAACAGGAGAGTTTGGTTATGGAGCTTTCGTCGCTATTCCGAACGATATCATCAGCACAAAATTCAAGTAGAATTGAAGTGTTCAAATTTCTCTGCATATGATTCACAGCTTATCCTGTAAACTTTGATCATGATTGGTTATAACGATGAAAGCTCCATGACCAAACCATCCAGCTCAGAGAAAGAAACCCCGCCATTATATATATATATATATATATATATATATATATCGGAAGGGGTTTTGTGGAGATTGTAGTAATATCAATAGTTGAGGTCATGAGTCATTTGGAGCTAGACCAACATGGAAAACCTGGAAACACTGGACGGCCGTTTCGTCCTATTGTAGGACTCCTCATCAGTGCGCATACACGATCAGTTGTGAGATAGGAACTCACTGATAACACTGGTGGATGTATTGTTGAATTTCGTGGATTAGTTGAAGTTAGATATAAACATCGTAGGATACTGGCCAGCTCAGTGGTCTATTGGTTAAGCGCTCGCGTGTGAGACTGATAGGTCCTAGTTTAGAATCTCACGAGGCAGGATTATGGATATGCACTGCCGAGGTATCTCACAATGGGACGAAATGGCCGTCCAGTGATTACAGGTTTTTCATGGTGGTCTAGCTTCGATTGACTCATAATCTCAACTTTTATATATATATATATATATATATATATATGTCAATTTAAGGATTGCATTTGATCAGTTTCTATTGCCTTACGTATATTAACAACTGAACTTCACAAAAGATTAATCTACTGAACAAATTGATTTGATCCACATTAAATATTAAAGCATCTAGAATTAATCTACACTAAAATAATTGAAACAGTGATTGATCTGATCATTAACATTATTGTCAAAAAGATGAAATGTCACATATTAAGTTCTAATGTAATAACACTTCAGTGCAATAATTCATATCTCAAAAAAAAAAAAGAAAAGAAAAGAAAAGAAAAGGAGAAAAGAAAGAAATAAAGGATTTTTTAATCAAAAAAATTTTATTATGTAGTAAATATTTGTTTTCTATTAACTCACAAAGGATTGGTTAGTTTTGTTTTGTTGTTGTTTTTTTTTTTTTTGTTATTTATTTTTGTTTCTTTGATTTTATGATGTTGGGCTAAAATTTATGTCTTTGTGTGAATATTTAAAAGGTTCATATATATTTTATTAAGTGTTTATTCTGACTGTAGTTAACATTTTGTTTTTAACCTAATTCATTTGTTCAATGACCTTGACCATAAATTGAATAAACTTGGATAGGTTAGACTATAATTATTATTTTTTTTTTACTTTTTTTATTTCCTGGTTAGACCTAAGTACTATGGAAACTTGAAATTTTTGATCGAATTGTATATCAAAAATATAAATAGATTGATTTTTTTCCCCTCTAAATATTGAAATGACTTTTAATAGGAAACCAATTATAGATATATACTTTTATGGATTTGATTCTAACCCTAAATGCTTAATGCTTATCGATTATCATGACAAGTTATCATTGATATAGAAGTGTTTTAGGCGAGTATATGAATAGATTAAAGAAAGCTATCCAATTATCAATTGATCGTTAATGTAGAGATAATCACATTATTTAAAAAAAAAAAATTAATTCATTTTAAACTTACTTTATCATTATAACTAGTAGAACTATTCAGACATTGACCTAGAAATGTTAGAACATCATTGAATGATTCTTTTGGTTCTGTATTCAAAGGTGTACTAGTAACAGTAGGCGAATTTATTGACTGTTGATTTGTATTATAATTAAATAAACCACTTTGTGGTAGATTTAAACCACTGGTTTGATCATTTTGAACTGTAAATTAATGGAAAAAATTACTTTTTTTTTAAAAAAAAAAGAAAACAATGGTAAATTGAATAGTTAAACAAGAATAATTTTATAATGGGTTGTGGAGATTGTTCAATGTCATTGAAATCATGAACTGATCTAGTTTAGATAATCATGACCGTTTTGTCCTAGTATGACATACCTTGGAAGTGAGCTTCCATGAACCAGTATTCGGGAACTGAAACTAAAGTTCTTAGGTTCGACTCCTATATGTGGAGTTGTTCAAGGAGTCCCATACTAGAACGAAACGGTCATCTAAAGCCTTCAAGTTTTCAATCGATATCTAATTTTGATCGATTCATGATTTCAATATAATTACAGACATTTTATTATTGTTATTATAAATATTAAAATCATTAAAATGAGTTTATATTAAAAATAAGTTAGTTTACCTGAGGTTTGACCAATTTTGTAGCTACCATACATAGCATTCATAATCATCATTAAAGCTTGAGCATAGGCTAAACTATTTGTAGAAGTAATACTAGTTTTATCATTTAATGAAGTGATATTATTATTTGATACAGGAACAGAGGTATTTAAATTCATTGGATCAACTGATCCAGAGGAACAATATAATTCATTAGTAGATGTTGTATTATTTAAAGGTATTGAATTTGAATATTTCAATGTATCAGAAATATTATCTGAATAATATAGATTATTTTGTCGTTGTTTTTGATTTTCGGCTTGAAAATTACAAAAATTATTCAATATTTGATTTGTTAAAATTGAATTATCATTATTTGTAAAATGATTTGATTGATTTGATTTAGAACTTAAATTAGTCAAATTAATATCTTGTGAAGAAATTGTAGTTGAATGATAATTTCCAGGAATATTCATACTTGATATATCTGTAACTAATGTATTCGATTGAGATATAGAATTAATATTAAAAGAACTAGATTGTCCTGTATTTAATTGATTATATATTTGATTTAATAATGCTAATTGTTGTATATCTTGTATACTTAAACCACTAGATGTATTTTGTGTTTCTTTGATAATTGGATTAGTATAAGCTGTAAATAAAACAAAAAAAAAACAAATAAAGAATAAAAATTAAATAAAACATTATTAAGAGTAAATATTAACTACCATTAGAAATAAGGACACATATTTCATTCTATTTAAAACTCATAAGCTAAAGATACCTACATTCCAATGTTTGTATTGATATTAAGAATCGAACTGTTACTAGCCATCATATAACTTATGATTATATAACTAAATAAAAGATAATCTATTCAAGAAGCACATTTATCAATACAAATTGATAAGTTACAGTGGTTAATATCTACAAAAGCAAAATATAAAACTAATCATTAAATATAATTAGTTATAATCACTTGTCTCAATTACGGAATTATTGAGCTATTAGACAATTAAATTAAAAAGTATAAGAATAATAAAACTATAATCTACTGTCAGTGTTCTATTTCTCTAGACTAGATGATTTAGTTATGAAACTTGGTTGGTTGGTTGGTTGGTTTTCTAGACAATGTCATTAATAATTACTTTAAGTATATGAAATCGGAGCTACAAATCTTTTCCTACAATTTAAACTTTAATATTCTACCATCTATTATTATTATTATTATTATGTAAAAACGAATCAAAAACAATCTGTTGAATAATATAATCAACCTAATTTTATTGATTGAAAACAGTTGTGATAAAAACTAAACTTTCATTAGTTACCATTTGGCACAACATCATAATAATAGTAATATTTAGTTATTTAAATACATAAAAATTTGTACAAGAAGGTAACAAATACATATACGCCTTATTCGATTTCTGTAAGGGTTGCGATATTGCCCAAGTACCCAAATCAAAGTAGAAGGTTTTCCAAGAGGACTGTACCTCCGAGACTTTAATCTAAAGTTCTAATCCACAAGGCAGTTGAGCAATGTGAGGAGATGAAGTCACATGGTAACCGGTGACTAACAATAGGTTCATGCACCATTTGTTCCTTCAAGATACTGAAGCTCATATACATCGTTGGTTTGGAATCAGGGCTATGCAACTCCTTTAAGTGAATCCTCCGTATTCGCCAACCCGGTTAAAGCACCTGACATTCGCTTTTCGTCCTCTCAATTTCGTAAACAATAAAGTAGAAACAAACTATCAGAAAAACTACTTTGTACTGAACGGAAATATATTTATAGTATGTTTGATTATGCTAAATGGCGGTTCCTATAGCGATTCCCATCTCACAGCTGATCGTGGATGAGCACTGCTGAGGAGTCCCACAATAGGACGAAACGACTGTCCACTGCTCCCAGGTTTCCAATAGTGGTCTAACATTAATCGGTTCATGATCTCAATCAAAAACTTTGAAATTGTCAAGACAAAATAAACTAGAACTATGACTAATGATTTAGTTAAGTAGTAAATATTCTTATTTAAAAAAAATACCCAATAAAATAACTTTAGAAAAGAGGTACATCAACATCTCAATTATTTTTGATAAATGAACATTTGGAACAAGATTTGAATTCGTACATTTCATTTACAAAAGTACTTGCTTCAGATAGACAACTGAAAGTTTTTTTCTTTACGACTCTATCGTGTTAAGTGATAGAATATACAACATGAATTTATGCATCTTGATATGCTATATCCAATAAGTAGAACCAGTTCAGTGAATAATTAAATAATTTGGAGGTATGTTTAGATATTTAAAAATAAAAGTGTAACTTACCAAGCATTTCCGGTAGCATCCTTAGATTATTCCATATATTCATATTTTGTGAACCACTAAGAATATTATGACTTGGAACATTGACATTAGTTCCACTTAAATATTCCATTTTATTTCCAAATATTCGATGTTCTTTTGTGACCGATTGTGGTTCTTTACCATTTTGTTCCATTAATAAAAGTTGCATTTGAAGTTGTTGCAATTTTTGTTGGTCATCAAGATAAGGGAGGAAACTATTATTCGTTGGAAAACTAGGTACTTCTGTGTTAGGAAATGATTTCTGCGGCCAATAGTTCAAACCATTTAAGTAAGATAAAGATGGATTAACACATGGTGTATTGCCATTTAATAATGTTGAAGGCTGAGCAGACATAAATGGTAATTCAAATGATGAACAGTTTTTATCAGTTGAAGTAGTTTTATCAGTATCCCTACCAGATGAAGTATGTTTATTCGAAATAGATGACATTTTTTTTTACAGATTTGCTCAGTTTCTTCTAAAATGAAAGAAATTGAAACGGACATAGCGGTAAGTAAATATATGAAAATCATGGCGAACTGAAGAGCTTACGAAAAATTACTTTTCACTATTTACTAATCACAATATATTTCTATGTTTATCTGGAAGAATACTTTTCTAACAATTTAAACGTCTTATTTTCCTGGACGACTTTCAGCATTACTACTACTACTACTTCTTATGCTAGATAATTGATGAAGTTTTATCTAATTAGTTCTATACAAGCTCACTTAAGATAGGTTCATTAGATTTGGAAAGGTTTCCAGTTTGAACAGAATTAGAGCTTAAAATAGTCTAAGAGCTTAACCTCAGTCGATCAAAATAGCCCTCCGATATTTAAAGTACTCCTTATTGACCAAAACTGGTGTTCGTATTCACATAGATATAATCTGTCATGTGTTTTAGTAGCATAATTCTTTTTCTTGTATCATAGATCTATGTTACGTCTGATTATATTTGTTTTTTTCTTTTACTTTAGATAGGCATTATATATCAAAACAATAACCAAGAAAGTATCATGTAACATTTGTTTTTGTAAAGTGATGCTCCTCTGTATAAATTATTGCTTTATAATAACAAAGATAATAGTTTGCATGATGCACTGATAGAGGATCAAAACTAGATCCTTAAGGCCTACCTCTGAGCCCTTAAACTTTAGAAAAGTGGGTCGAAATCCAATAATTTAAATCAATCAATCTGCAATAGTGTAATTACCATTCATTACTGTTTGGTGATATTCGTCTTATGACTAACATGGGTGAGCTAGACTAATGACGTATTCTCACTAGAAATCTTGGAGCCACCTCTTAAAGTTAGCCTCTAGTAAGCAATATGGTAATGTTGTTATAGTGTGTTATGGAAGTGGTTGAAGTTCATACTTTACATCACTGTGATGCAAACTTTAACTGGTCACTAGACTATTTATGAGACACATAACTGAGATGTATAAGTAGGGGGATATGTATGCATATGTTTACATTTTTACTAATGTTAACTTTGTTTAAGCATGTTATTGTGTTTTAATCCTATGTTGAAAAGTTATTAAATAAATCTACTCATGTACTTTTATGAACAGTGCCACTAACCACATTCCATTAGTTCCATTGGTTCATCTATTGATTGACTCACGATGATGTTGTTCATAAGGACAGTGAAAAGTCCATAATCAGACCGTCCAGCTCAGAGACTACGACATTACCTATACCCTTACCCTGAACCAATATTATCTATCATCTCATAGGTAACTTTAGCCAATGGTAGAATATTATGACCAATAAAATGATTAATCTTAAATATTTAAAAAAAAATTATTCATGCATTTAAGGAGTATGTGAGAAAACATTTTTAACTGAACCACCATTATCTTAGTTGTATAAAGTCAATCAATGCAAGCGTTTGACCCAGAACAAATCTACTAGATGACTTGATGAATGGCTACGGAGTCGGAATAATAGTAATCTTGATGATCATATCATCCAAAAGAAGGAAAGACGTAAGAGAATAAAAGGTAAGAAGTTATATTAAGTGTGATAAGTTGACTATTCCATCATATATGATCAATGCTTTGAAAAAAAATATGGTTGAGTACTATTTAACTATGAATGTTCTATACTTTCTAAACCCAAGTTTCTTAGACAAAAATCATAGCTAAGTGGACTTCTGTACAGTAAACTAGGTAGATAATGAACAAGTGTATATCTTGCTTCCATTGTGGGTGGGTCAATTTCTCAGAAGTCAAATGAAGTTTTGGAATCCTCATCAAATTTTTTGCAAGTAATGACCGAACAGGGGCCATGAGATTTCTAAGATAAGTGAGATTTTTAATCAGTTTTAGTGTTAGGCTAGGATTGAACAAAGGCCAACTTTAATGTAACATTTTAAATTAGGAAAGAGAAATATTTCCCAAACATTCTTTCATTGTTACTCAAGGCGTTCAGAAGACACTGCATTTTGTCAGTATTTTCACTCAACAAAAGTATATCATCTAAACACAATCTAAATTAATAAGTGAATCTTCTGATAAAAATCGATCACCGAAAACTCGCAAGAAAACGGATTTATATTTAAAATAATCACTATGACGATAGTAAATAAAAATGGGGATAATTGAGATCTTTGACGATTAATGTGTCCAGTTCGGGGCGTTAACTCGAAAAATAGTGTTCTAGCGCTCAATATATTTATGTACTATTTCGGTTCGCCTTTCAGTGAGATACTGCAATAAAATTTATTGAATAGAAGAGTAAAACGAAACATTAAGATCAAGAAATCCAATTCAAGTCTAGAGTCGGTAAACATGGCTGTGTTTTAAGACATAATGAAGGGTTATATATATATATATATATATATATATATATATATATATATATATATAATAAACACAAATGCTGTGGAATATTGAACAATGAATTCATTAGTAAATCTTCTGATCTACAGGAAAACCCATGATACAGTGGAGCAATTAGTCTTGTTGGTGCATTGCTTTGACGATTTGTGCTCAACTCACTGTTAAGCATAATATTGGGCATATAATGTAGTCTTTGAAGTATTACTTTACATGGAAAGTAAGGTTTCTACAGGCTGTGTAAATAAGGAGTATAGTAACTTCTATAATATAATGAAATTACATGTTTTAAGTCATGTTGAGTTTTATTCTAGTTGATGTTTTCTATTTCAAGACACTACTCAACGTTCAAGTAGAGTATCTGTGCTTCAAGATCCTAGTGAAAATGAACATTATTTTTCAATTGATAATTTTCTCTACCCAAAGAGTATAAGGAGCACATTAAATCCTACATCCCAAGGTACAAGCTGCTAATTACAATTAATAATTATTACTTTAAACATGGAAAGATTTATTACCTGCTATATTCTTAACCATTCAGCAACTGGTTCAACTTCAAACCCACGTACTTTAGTTTAAGCAAACAAGTAGTGTTACTAGTCATCACATAAGCACTGGCTTCCAAATCGAGTAGTCTTTTGGGAATTGGTGACTGGGTTATGCTGATCAAGGCCTATGTTATGGAGACGAACAACTAGTCTTTGTGTTGATCTCTAACAGAAAACTTACTCATACAATTCGGTCAGAACGGAAAGGGTCAGAATGGGATAATTACAGCACCTAACAAACTAGTTACATTTGTTAGTTATAGTAGATTAATCCTATAAGTATAAGTGCTTTAAATTAGTGATTAGTTAGTGTCAAATACTACCCATTTTAATTTATTGAAATCTCAAAAATAATCCGAGTAAATAAAACAATGAATGTTAGAGTACTGAAATATAATCTGTGTTCATTCGCCATCTTTGACTTCTCCTTCCCATTGAGCAGTGTCGATTATTTTTAGTTATGTAACAGTTCACAGTAAACTATGCACCTGTTTAAATTGAAGATCTAACTTCTAAGATATAATAAACAAAAGTAGATAACTTCTGAAACATCCTGGATAATTCATTTGTTAAAGTTTAAACTATTCCAATTGTTGATGCTAAAGACTGAAATCAATTAATCATTTATGAGATCGAATTCCCGAAAGGATATCACCAACAAGATAGAGGTGTATTTAGCTGACGAATACGAACTCGAACAACACACAACTCCTAGGTTCCACTGTTACCATGCTTTAAATAGCTATCCCAAAGAATGTTTACATCTAGAATAGTATAATTTAAACCAGATTATCATAATTAATTAACTTTCAGCTTTATTGTACGTGAACAACACAACAACAGATTTTATTCTGTTGTTGTTGTTGTTGTTATACACTGATCTTGTTTATTACTGTATACGTTAGAAAATGTGAATTGTTATTATAAACATATAAACAATCAAGTTATCTCTTAATGTAATTAACTAGTACACATATTTACTTAAGCTTATTATATGTACATCAATGTATCTAATTTTGTTGTCCATTCTATTAACAGAAAACAAATCGATAAATCATCGAATTAATCCACTTCTTAATAAATACATTTAATAGAAAAAAAGAAGAAATCTAAAGGAACACTATATTATTATAAATGAATATACTAGAACGGGTTTTGTGGAGATTGTAGTAATTTCAATAGGTGAAATCATGAGTCAATTGAAGCTAGGCCACCATGGAAGACCTGGAAGCAATAGATGACCGTTTCGTCCCATTGTGGGACTTCTCAGCGCCTTGAGCGAGACTGATAGACCCTGGATTCGGATCTCGCGGGGGGTGAGATCGTGGATGTGCAGTGCTGAGGAGTCCCACAATAAAACGAAACGGCCGTCCAGTGCTTCCAAGTTTCCAGTGTTAGTCTAACATCAATCGGTTTATAATTTCGATGAAACCATCGCTACAACCCCATGCTGACAGTTACTCGGTTTAGTGTCAGATAAAATGATGTAGATGTTTTTATTTATGGAGTTTATCGTCAGAAAGGCATTCTATAATCCTTAACCAGATCCATGACATTTATTGTAAAGTTGTTCTGGAGGAGTCGCTTTTTAGTGTATGATCGAACTAGGATATATTAAAGGCTGATCTAAAGGATCAGTGGAATTACGCGCCGATAGCAATGGATGACTGTTAATCTATACTAGAAATCGATTGGAGTTAAATCTCGGCTTGCCCCAATTGCCCTGGTACGAATCCCCCGATTGCCCTGGTATGCCCCCAATTCCCTGGTACGGCTGAGAGTGGGGAGAGTCTGCTCTCCCTCTCCAAATGCTCTCACATGGACACGCGTATATAGCCTCTGCGAGGGAAGTCCTACTCACTGCCTTCTCGCGGCATTACTACTGTTTACGAAAATGAGAGGACGAAAAGCGAATTTCCGGCGCTTTAACCGGATTCCAAAACAATCGTGCACATGGGCTCCAGTATCCTGAAGGAACAAATGGCGTATGAACCAATCGTTGGTCAACGGCTACCATGGGACTGCATCTCCTTACGATGCTCCACTGCCTTGTGGGTCAGATCTTCAGGTCGAAGGCTCGGGGTG